GGGGCGACCCCCGGGTTCCGGAGGAAAAGGTTGGCAATTTTCCACAGTAAAGCGGCGGTGGATCACGCTCTCTCCTATGTTTTGACCACTCGGTCGATCATCTGGCCTCGGTCGTGGCTCGCCTGCACTCGCTCCCTGGCCGTAGCAGCGCTCCTGGCTTCTTGAAGCCTGGTCCTGATGGTTGCCGCGACCCTGGGAGGGTTGGAACTGAGCTTGTTTTTTTTCACCGAAATGGTGAGGCCCAGGGACGCGCACCGATCAACAAAACACTTGACTGCAGCAAGTGTAGCCTCAACTACTACATTCTCTTCCTATGGCTGATTGCGTGATGTCACACATCCAGCTCTGGACTTCAGCTGGTCTGTAAGAGGCGTGCAAAGCATTGGGCATTTGCCAAAGAGCCAACCTAGACATATCCACCCTCTGCGAGCATCCATCCAGGATCCCCTTGCAAGCCTGCAGGGGCTCCGAGACCACCCCGTTCCCTCGGCATCTTCGGGGCCCAAAATGGAGGGTGAGAGCGAGGAACAGGTGAGTGAGAGGATCGCCTGCGTTCGACCGTGCCTGCCACAATTGTTCTGGGTCTAGTGTGTCGTAGAAAGTTTCCAAGTCCCACAACACTTCACACCAGGCAACACCTTGCAGCGACGCGACCTCAAGGCGAGTTAGCCTGGGCCGGATCATGCTTTGCATGACGAGCTCTGGTGCGCACTGCAACTCACCAAAGGATGCCGTAGTGCGCGGCCGCCCAAGGTCCTACTCCGTCCCATCGTAGTTTAACCAGTCCGCTTATCTTCTCTGGGACCAGGCAGTCATCAATCACTCGAGATCCTCCTGGCTGCGGCTCGTGTGGCTTGCGCCAAACTCCGCCCAGTAAGGTCGTCGAACGTAAAGGCTGTATCTCCGTCTCTACCATGTTTCAGCCAGCCATGCTGACGAACGGGATCCCCTTTGTCTTGATGTACGACGCCATGCCGTTGATGGTGTCAATGCTAGGGCAAGCCAATTGACACAACAATAATATCCAATCCTGTCGCTCTGACCGAAATGGACGTCCATTGCGTTGTATCCTGTCCACGCTGAAGTACTCCTCTCAGGCTAGCTGCTTCTGCACCTGAAGCCACACTCCACCATGTCCTCGAACTCCCTGGCCGGCCGCCCCTGCGGCAGGAACGGCCTGGCGGCCCAGCCCCAGCTTGGAGATCTTCTTTGCCTCGTTCAGCCACTTCCCTGCCAGGTGATGTTCTGCCAATCCTATGCTGTGGGCTCTGTGTATCGGGGGTAGCCGAGGCTCTTCTCGCTCCAGCTCGTGACGCTGCTGAAGTAGAAGGTTAATGTCGGTGTCACTGTGCCCTCTTCTCCGCTGCTAGGCGGAGCGAGTCTCGCCGTGGAACCATTCGTGGCAATCGGCACGCTTGGGCTCTCAGCGTCCCTGTACTGGGGCGGAGCCTTGGTCTTCGAAGCAGGGCCTCCAGGAGGCTTTGGAGCCAGTGCCGCCCTGCTCGGGCTGCCTAGGCCCCTCCCTCCTCCTCCTCCCCCTCCTCCTCCTCCTCCTCCTCCTCCTCCTCCTCCTCCTCCTCCTCCTCCTCCTCCCCCATCCTCCTCCTCTCAAGTTCCATCTCGGCTCGAGCTAGTTTGGTTCAAGCTCGCTCGCGACGCGGATGCTCCAGGGCTGGACCACCAAAGGGTGTGCTTACTTGAGCGCCGCCGAGGACAATAGCTTCTCGGAGGTGAACTCTGGGGACATTTTGCCACGCCGTGCTGTGTTTGGAGATGGTGGAGCTGCTCTGGAAATCCTGCTCCCGATTTCTGGCATCTTCATGCTCAGCCTGTGCCAGTTGCCAGGAGGTGCGCGTCTTCGTGGTTTCGCGTTTCTGGCAATTGCAGTTGGCTTTTTCGCTACGTCGTGCTTCGCCTATCCGTGCAGTATGGCTGGTCCTTTGGTCTTCCATTTCCTGCATGTGCTGGGCAAGTTCCGTCCCAGGGCGGTGCCGACAGGCTCCTTCTCGTTAGGGGGCCCGCCCTGGGCGTACCGCGTCGTCTGGCTCGTTGTGTTTGTTCTCTGGGCAGCTCGGCTGGTCTGGTCCTTGGTCAAGGGCGCCCTCGAGGGCGCGAAGTTATTCGCGCTTCGCGCTTCGCGGTTCGGCTCCGATTCCTCATCCTCCTCTTCTCCCCTGGGAGGGCGGCGCGAGAGCGCGAAGTTGTTCGCACTTCGCGCTTCGCGCAGCGCGAAGCGCGAAGTTGGGAGCCCTTGTTGGTCTGGGACGTTTTTCCTGCTTGTCGTGGGCACGTTCCGTCCCAGTGCGAAGGGCGGCTGGTGCCTTGCTCGGGGGCTCTCGCCCTGGGCGCGCCACGTCGCCGCGCACGTCGTGTTTTTTTTTCTTTTCGGGGTGGTGTTCATTGCAACGCTCGTCGCCTTAGTGGCCATGTCCTCCTCCTCCTCCTCCTCCTGCTCCTCCTCCTCCTCCTCTTCCTCCTCCTCCTCCTCCTCCTCCTGGTCCTCCTCCTCCTCCTCCTCCTCCTCCTCCTCCTCCTTATTATTTATCCCTGGCCATGCTCCTCTTCCTCACCTGCGTGGAGCATGTTACAGGGAGCCTTTTTATCCAGATCGTCACCGGGTGACGCCTGTTCTCAAGAACGCGATGCTTCTCTACGTCTCTATGCGCACTGATTGTTTCAGACGTGGGTATCATAAGCGGTTTGCTGGTGCACCGTCTTTTTATTCATTTGTGTGATGATCGCTCTGTGAGGCTTGTCATGTATGCTACAGGTCGATGGTTTCTGGATGGGTGCTCAAGATGGGCCTCGCCATTCATCCGCTCGTATTTGGCGTTGACGTGGGCGCGGTGCTGTTCCTTCTTCTCCTGGTGTTCGTGATCTCCATCATCATCTACGTGGAGCTGGTGCTGTTCACGCCCGTTTAGAGTTGACGTCCCGTGGGAAAAAAGTTTCCTCCTCCTCCTTCTCCTCCATCTCCTCCTCCTCCTCCTCCTTCTCCATCTCCTCCTCCCACTCCCCCTCCTCCACCTACTCCTCCCCCTCCTCGGGTCGCCCACGGCCCCGGGGGAAACCGTGGAGTCTAGGCCTCCTCGATGTGGTCAGAGTGAGAGTGGAGTCGGAGGATCGCGCCGCATCGCCGATGCATCAGCGGTGCGGCTCGATGTGGGGCCCAGCTTTCTCCACGCCGACGTCGCCGACGCATCGCCGACTTCGCCAGTCGGCGGTGCATCGCCGATGTGTCGGCGATGCGGCGAGATCATCCGACCCCCTCTACTCGGGCCCCACGTGTGGGGCCTCTACGGGGGCTGGCTGTCCGGCCCTGCTCGACGACCCAGGCTCGGTTGCCGTCGACGCGCCCGAGTCGATGCGATCTCGATAGCTTTCGATTCGATTCCGATTCGATTCGGCTTCGGGTGCCGGCTTGGAGTCCGAGGTATGGCTCGAGGCTTGCCGGCCCCAGGGGTGGTTGCGCGGCCCTGCTCGGCCCAGGCTCGGCGACTACAAAGCGTGTTGCTGCGCCTGGGTGCGGTTTGCAATCGGCGCCAGTGGGGCCGGGGGGCACGACGCTGTCCTCGTCGGGCCTCTTCGGGGCGCGGCGGAGAACTCCATCGAGGTCCTAGGCGGGGTTCGCTTCGATTCCTCCGATTCACTTCGATTCGATTTAGATGGCGTTCGATTCCGATTCGATTCGGCTTCGATTTGGATTCCGACTTCTCAACGCAGACCTACTAGCTACTAGCCTGCCGATTCCTGCCGATTCGACTTATCCCGATTCGGCTGCCGATTTTCGCCGATCTGATTTATTTCGATCGCCGATCCGACTTGTCGATTCGATTCTGGATTCTCCTGCCAGGCGGAGGAGGGAAAAGATTGGGCCAGACGCCTGCGCATCATCATAGCATGCCTAGGCATGACCATGTGGATGCCTAGGCATGCCACTGCTGTTGCCGAGGCATCCGAATAGGCATGCCTACGCATGCATCGACGAATACGTCCATGGACGTTCGCAGCGACGTAGCTGGACGTAGCTGGGCGTAGCAGATGCGTAGGCGTTGACCTGGTGATGCCTAGGCATCTAATCGAACTGGCGATGCCTAGGCATTTGGCAAGACTGTGTGCATGGTAGGCATCGATGGTTCAAGCTACCAGAGCAAGTCGGCCGTGCCATGGAGAAAATGAGAAGGATGAGAAGGAGGAGGAGGAGGAGGACAATGTCAGGGGGGGAGGGGGATGTGAATGCCGATGCTGGTGCTCGTCCTGGAGAGCCCTCGTCGCCACGGCTGGGCTCTCTTAGGCATCCCGATCAGAGCGCGCCCCGAGAAAGGTTAAGGGACTTTTGTGGCATCGGTGCCCACCTGTTCCCCCTGGAGGCACAAGGGAATCGCAGAGGTCGGTTCTGTTCACTGTTTCGGCCTTTGGAGGGCGTCTCCCGGCCGCGGGGGCGTCAGAAACTTCAGTAGTCCGGATGAGAAGCCGGTCCTTGGGAAGAGGTCGAGCTCCCGGGGAGCAACGTCGCGAAGTGACCGCGTCGTCGAAGGCGAGGTGAGGGAGAGTCGGGCCGGGCGAAAGGGGGGGTTTGGGAAAGGGGGGGTTACGAAATTTGCTGCATGCAGCTGGTTTCGGCCTCACCGAGGGGCCCATTCCTCGATACATAGCCGCCTCCGGCGCCGGGAGGCGACGGGAGAATCAGCTACGTGAGCTGATTCTCAAACCCCCCCTTTGCTATCCCCCCCTTTCGCCCGACCCGAGAGAGGAACTCGGGGAGGAAGAGGTGCACAAGATGGCCGCCGCTCACTGGGCGACAGGCCTCGGCAGCTCCTGCCGCAGGTGCGGGAAGCGTCCCCGCACTGGCCTCGAGGTCGAGGCTCCGAGCCATGTGGCGCCCAGGGGTACGTGCCAAGAGGATCGGGGGAGCGTAAGACCCGGGTTTGCCGGGACTCGGGTTCGCCATCGTTTTTTGACGACCGCGCCTCGGATTTTGACGAGGAGGAGTTTCGTGGGATGTCTGCAGCGGGAGGCCTCGTCAAAATGCAGGCTCGGCCTCGTCACTTTTTTGACGACCTCGTCGGGGATTTCCGAGTCCCCCGTACCCGGGTCTTACGTCTCCCCGACTCAAGGTTGAGGCTCCGAGCCATGTGGCGCCCAGGGGTACGTGCCAAGAGGAGGACGAGGAGGCCACGGAATAATCAGAGCCCCGAATCATCAGGGATAACTCGGGTCAGGGATAACTCGGGTTCGTTTTTCGGGAATCCAAACCCGAGTTACCCCGGACCCGAGTTACCCCGGATAACTCGGGCGTCCAAAATAACACAAACACTGCATAAACATGATTTCTCGCAGGGCCACGCGGAGTTCTGGCTCGGCTTCGGAGGCCCCCCCGGCGGCGCCTCCGGCGCCGCCCGTGGCCCGCTCCGCGCGTCAGAGGTAGGGAAGCCCAGCGCGCCGAGGCAAGAAAGCCACGCGGGCCTCCGAGAAATTGTGCTTGGGCCGTTTCTTGTGGTTCCTTTCGCAGGCGATGTTTCTCCCCGAATCCCCGAGTTTCGCCCAAAAAGTTTGGCCGTTCAGAAAAATTGGAAAACCCTGGGATACACCCCAAGGGGGCTATTCGGACGCACCCCTATCGAGGATGGGCACCCCCCCATCGTATATCCCAGGGTTGGGCCCCAAATTTCTGGTCCATTCGGAAACCCCACGAAGCCTGGGATAGGGGTCGACATATCCCTTGCTATCCTTGAGGGCAGGTGGGGGGGAGGGGTCCTGAGGGGAGTGCCTCGAGAGGAGCGTGGATGGTGAATCCAACAGGTCAGCGCCCCCCCGATGGCGCCCGGGCACAGCCTCCGCCTCGGGGCCGAGTGCGTATGCGGACTGCTCGGCGATGTCCCCTGCGTGTGCAGTGCGACGACGACTGGTGATGATGATGGTGGTGGTGCTGATGAGGACGATGGAGACTGTGGTGATGACGATGATGATGACGATGACGATGACAATGACGATACTGGTGATGCTGATGATGATTACGATGATGAGTATGAAGATGAATATGCATATGATGATGTTGCTGACGATGAGGATGATGCTGCTGATGATGATAAGTCTGATGATGCTGATGATGATCATCATCATGATGATGGTGATGATGCTGATGATGATGGTGGTGGTGGTGGTGATGGTTAGGATGATGATGATTGTGATGGTGATGGTGATGGTGAGAGTGATGGCGATTACGATGATTACGGTGATGATAAAGATGATGAGCGTGTTGATGATGTTGCTGATATTGGTGATGCTGATGACGATGATGACGACGATGATGATGATGATGATGAT